TAAACAAATATTTTCTGATATTTTCATTTGGAAACTCCCTACTTGGATGACGTCGTCTTGCTGTAGCGTCATTCCCACAATTTCTACTTGAGTTTTGTTTTTTTTAGCATAAAAAAAGAATATTTTTAAAGATATTGGTGAAATTCCCAGTCGACCCACTTTCAGCATGTTTTTTACTCTTTGATGTTTGAACAACAACATCTCAGGAACTATTACAGATAAAAACCTGAAACTTTCACTGTTGTTTCTCAAAAAAACGCCCAAATTGAACCATATTTACCAAATATTTTCTTCAGTATATCTGGGGAAGCATCACCAGATTTTAGAACTATTTCAGCTCTGATTCGTCTGCCTTTTCCTTTATCATATGATTATAGATGTTGTTTTAAAGATGGATGTAAAACTTGACAAATTAAATACTTCTCAAGATGATTTCATAAAAAAAAAAATCTGTGCGTTTTTTCAGGTATTGCAAATTTGAGGCCAATATTTCAGGAATTATTGAAGAAAATTTTCCCCGTTGCTTCCTGTAATGTTTCTGATGAAGAATCTATTATGTATTTATTTATTTATTTTCCTTTATTTAACCAGGTAGGTTAATTGAGACCAGGTTCTCATTTACAATAACGACCTGGCCAAGAGGCAGCACAGAGCAGAAAATACAATACATCCATAATAAAAGAATACACAAACAAAACATGACAATAAAAGTCTTTGAAGATGTATATATGAAGAGTTCATTTGCAAAAACAGATACCTTGATCTCCACAAACCTTCAGAAAACCCACTTCTCCATCGTCTACCTGAGACAATCAAACCGAAGTTATCTCTGTTTTTGTCATTTCTACTGAGTCAAATCCACTCAGCTTCAGTTTGATTGATATTATCTCAAGCAAACAACCAAAAAAATAAGTTTTCTGTTTCCGTTTTCTGTTTTTGCAAATTAACTCTTCATGTCTTGTTGTATAGATTAAGTTAAGGTTCAAGGACAGATCACGTTTTCTATTCATGCTTTTATCTTTGTGGTGCAACGTGCAGCAATCAGCTTTGAAAGTTTAACCAAAATAACTTCCTTTACCTTTCTGTGATCAAGTATTTCATATTAAAACTATCCTACATGTTTAGTTTTGTATTATTGTGACCTGCAGCAACATGTGGCTCAGAAATTGTCTCTAACTGACTTCTGCTTTATCTCCGTTTTTGTTAATGGCAGCTTCAATTTTTTGACATATTTCATCTCGCCCATAATCAGATATTATTTGATCTACTTCTCCAACATTCCAGACTCTGAATCAGCGACACGAGCAGTACCAACAGTGAAAGTTTCAGCCTTTTATCTTCAATACTTCCTGAGATGTTGTTGTTTAAACAGCCTCGGATGTGAAGAATCGAGCTGGAAGTGGGTCAGAAATGATTCCCCCCAAAAAAAGTCAACGCAGAATTTCACAGCCACTATTTTAAACATCCATAAGTTAGGATAAACTCGGAGTCGGTCCCCTGATGATTGGAGCCTCGGCGGATATTTAATTTTTCTCAGTATCTGGATGAGTGTTTGTGCCAGAACCACATCTCCTCCGTCAGCAGACACGCTTCCCTCCAGCCCGGCTTAATTGACCTTTCGTGATGAATTCAGCAATGGCAGACTTAATTGGCACCTATTTTGGTGTATTTTCTCTCTCTCTCTTTTTTTTTTTGTATGCAGGAATTGAACTGTCACACACATGCCGACGCTGTCTGAATTTTAATGATTAAACGCAGACGCTGTCTGGCCGAGTCCGGCTGGCCTCGAGTGAAGCGACTCCATTCCAGTCGCTATAAGATAAAAAAAACATCCAATTACAGTTTGCTGCATTCATTAATTTAATCATTTAAGAATTGTGTTTCTTGGAACTTTTTATTTGGAGAAGTTTTTTGTGCAAATAGGAAAAAGTACAGAAGAATGAGGCAGCCTGAAAGCACGAAGGGAAATGTTGATAAGCAGCTGTGTTTCCTGACAAACGCGCCGATATCTCGTTAGCTTAATGGCTTTTTTTTTTTTCTCTCTCTCTCTCCAGGTGTGGCTTCGTACTTGTGCGTCGGTCCGGAGGGATACTGGGACCCGCAGGGGCCTGATTTCAGCAACTGCACCTCCCCGTGGGTCAACCTCATCAGCCAGAAGGTAAAAGAAGGAGGCGCCCAACAGAGGAACCATGAGTGTTTTTGAGTTTTGTTCAACCAACGAACCAGATCGAGTCGAAGGAATTAGCTTCAGTTCAGTCTGAACCATAGACTGTATAAATATGAANGCAGGAGATGCTCATGACCGTAGTGCAGCTGTAGCATGTGGGTCATCAAAGTTCTACATGAGATGCCTGGAAATTTTACAGCATAAAATATGGATAATTGCAAAATTTTAGCTTCGACTAAATTCCCCGTCGACCCACTTTCAGCACGTTTGGTTGAACTTTGCAGGACGACATCTCAGGAAGCAACAAAGATATAAAGCCGGATATTTTCATTGTTGTTTCTCATCAGAAAGTAAAAAATACGCCCAAATTAAACTAATATGTTCTTCAGTTTATGTGGAGAACCATTTGGAAACTCCCTACTGGATGACGCCTTCTTGCCGTAGAGTAATTCCAACAATTTCTACTTGATTTTGTTGAGCATAAATAAAGAATATTTATGAAATTTTGGTTGTAAGTCAAATCCCCGTCGACCCACTTTCAACACGTTTTGTTGAAGTTTGCAGCTTGAAGGACGACATCTCAGGAGCTGATAAAGATTTTTTAAAAGCTGTTATTCTCACAGTTATTTCTCCTCATGTCTTTGATTCAGAAAATAAAAAATCTGCCCAAATTATACAAATATGTGGAGAACCATTTAGAAAATCCCTACTGGATGACGCCGTCTTGCCGTAGAGTAATTCCAACAATTTCTGCTCAATTTTTTTTTAGCATAAATAAAGAATATTTCTAAAGATATTGGTGAAATTTCAATTTTAAGTCAATTCCCTGTCGACCCACTTTCAGCAGGTTTTGTTGAAGTTTGCAGCTTGAAGGTCGACAACTCAGGAACTGATAAAGATTTTTAAAAAGCTGATATTTCTCATCATGTCTTTGATTCAGAAAATAAAAAATCCACCCAAATTAAGCTAATATTTTCTTCAGTTTATGTGGAGAACCATTTAGAAACTCCCTACTGGATGACGCCATCTTGCCTTAGTATCATTCCTACAGTTTCTGCTCGATTATTTGGCATAAATAAAGAATATTTATCAAGATATTTGCAAAATTTCGGTTTGAGTCGAATTCCCCGTCGACCCACTTTCAGCATTTTTTACTCTTTGATGTTTGAACATCTCAGGAGCTAATAAAGATAAAAGCCTGATATATTCTCACAGTTATTTCTCATCACGTTATTGATTCAGAAACTAAAAAATCTGCCCAAACTAAACAAATATTTTCTGATATTTTCATTTGGAAACTCCCTACTTGGATGACGTCGTCTTGC